CTTCTTAGTCGGCGCGCTGCTGCCGACATGCATTCCGCTGCCGTCACTGGGCAGATGCAGTCCAGTAAGGCTTAGGGTTTAGGGTTCAGGGTTTGGGGTTTAGGGTTCAGGGTTTTGGATTTAGGGTTTAGGTGTTAGGGTTTATGGTTTAGGGTTTAGGGTTTAGGGCCTAGGGCGTAGAGCTTCGGGGGAAGGCTGCCAAGCGTCTGTTTCGCGGTCTAGGCGAAGGTTTCGTGGCCCTAAACCCTAAACCCTAAACCCTAAGCCCTAAACCCTAAACCCTAAACCCTAAGCCCTAAACCCTAAACCCTAAACCCTGAACCGAATTGGAGCAGGCTAAGACCCAAGGATTCTTGAAAGCTCCTGCCGCCAACCCCTAAGACCCAGATCTTCCAACATCCCTCAAATTCCGTATATTGCCGTAGGATCTCTATAAAATGTCCATAATAATAAAAAGAGGAGCAGTAGTAGTAGTATCAAATCTATAACGGTAGGGGTAAGGAGAAGTCGACCACCTGCTTCTCCATCCAACGAGCCCTCAAAGGAACCCTAAGCCCTAAACTCTGAACCCTGAGCCGCTATAATCCCTTATAAGCCCCTCTAAACCCCTTATAAACCCTGAAGGGTTTATAAACCCTGAAAATGTCTAAACTAAACCCAAAGCCCCTCCTCGGTGCAGAGATCCACTTCGACGGTGGGATTACCACCTTCCAAGGGGGGGGGGCGCTTGATGGGGTCCTCGGGCTTTGGGTTTGCAAGACAGGGGCCTTAATCCTTGCTTGGACTAGAAGGAGGTTCCATTTAAGGGTTCTACAGCGTTTTGTATCCGGGCTTAGCTTAGGACCATTGGAACAAGGTTGGGGAAGACACCATAGCATGAGTTGGATAAGGAAGTCAGAGGCCTTGTTTTACCAATTGTTCACACACCTATGTTCACAGAAGTCAGAATCGCTAGTAATAGTATCTACTCTAAAGGAGGGGGACACATGTAGACTTGCAAACTGCGATAGAAATACTTGCAAGAGCCTCACGTTCCTTTCTTGTGCCCGCAGCACCAACGACGCTGCACAACAATACCGCACCCTCAGATCCTCCATTTTGGTTGACTGGCCCCTAAACCGTAAGCCCCTAAACCGTAAACCATGAACCCTAAACCCCCGAACCTTAAACCC